GATTTTATTTTGAGCTAGGAGGGGTGTTTGCAAGGCCTCTACAGAACAAAATTTTTGTAAAATCATTGCAGGATTGTTTTGGCAGTTTAGTGGAAACCATTTAGATGAACTGCCATCATTTAAAGGGCTTAAAAAGCTAATGGGGCTTAATTTTAAGACCTTGTACAATGGAGTATTGCATATTGCAGTTGACCAGATTTTAGCTGTCATTGTCTAAACACTTAAACATCTGATTGGTTTCTATGGACAAATCCCGATTTGTCTTGAACCTCACTGTTTGAGACCGACACGGCAGCTGTTTGTGTATAGCCGACTGTCGCACATCATAATAATCAGAATGGGCAACAGTGCCATTGGTATTCGAAAGCCCAGCCAATATTTATTTTTGAGGGGAGGGGGGGGGGGTTAGTCTTTATTGCTGCATTGGTCACCAGTTGGGGAGCTCAGCCCCTCCACTTTCCATCCTAAGGCAAAAAGCAACTGGAAAGCTTTCCAATGGACACATTGTTGCTGATTTACTAAAGGAGAAGATCATAGTAGTAGGACATGTCCACTTTGCCTACGGAAAGTTCAATGAGCTTAGTGAATGTGGGGAAAAGAAAACCCAATCAGGAGAAAGAAAAATTAAAAACAGGATTTTTTTTGCACATGATTGGATGGATGACTGTGGTCAGCACATCTTCACCTCATTAACAAAGAAAACGTGAACATTTCTTTGCTCTGCTCCTTTAGTAAATCAGCCGCATTCACAGCAATAAAAACACAATTGGATGGATTTAGTAAAACTGGAGCACTCAGAATCTGGTGCAGCTGTGCATGGGAGCCAATCAGCTTCTCACTTCAGCATGTTCAAGTTCTTTGACAATAAAACCTGGAAGGTGATTGGTTTCTCCAGTTTTTGGTAAACCCCCCCCCCCCCTTTGTTTTTGTAGCACGGAGAAGGGTTAGAACCTCCTTAAGATTTTTGTACTGTTATCTGCTGGTTCCCATAGGGAAGATTTCCCCTCGCTATCTGTCCCAGTGGCGCCATGACACAGGAAGTGGATCTCCCCAATGGGAACACAGGTAGCAAAAAAGAAACTTGATTAAATTTTTTTTAATTGGCGTTTTCTCAAGGCGTCATTGAGCTAAAAAAGCAAAAAAAAACTGGCAAGTGGAGACTTTGTTTTTAGTAGTGTGGAAAAGGGAACCTCCATCAGCTTTTTGTTTGCCTGTGCTCCTACTGAGAAAACTTGACCTACCTTGTGCAATAGGAGGTGAAAACTTGACTGAGGTTCTAAGCCTTCCCCATCCAGTTTAAAACATAAAAAAAAGTCTAGCCTTGTCCAGCTTTGGACTTTAATTTTTCATGCTAGCATTGAAATATTCAATAAAGTATTTATTTATGTTTTTTATTGAACCTTGCTATAACCTGAAGGCTGTTATGTACCATCTAAAAGTGCGTCATGATTGGTTTAGAACTGTTTTTTTTTTTAAATGTTTTAATGAGAAGTACACAGTGCTAAGGTAGTCCAACTGATGGATTAAGATAAGACGTGACTAGTTAGGCTGCGTTGAGGCCTTCTTGGATGCAAATGCATAGCAGTGTTTATCTGCATGAAAAAAAAAAAAACTATGCACTACCCTTTCCCAAGACCAGATACGATCAACTTTTTGGTAGCCTTTTTTTCTTTCTTTTTTTTTTTTCTTTTTCTCTTTAATTTCCGTTCAGTCGGTCCTAGCCTTTCTCAGTTGTACTTAAGAAAATGCCAGCTTTAGGACAGAATGACATATTTGAAAAAAAAACCAGCAAAATAACCGATTTACGAAATGTAGTGCCTGTGAAACCTGTATTATATGCTCTTCTGAAATAAGAAATTTATACACCGTGAGCCTTTTGCTATCAGTCAAAATCTTCTGATGTAAAATAACCATACAATAATTATGCATGCAATCCCATACTGCTTAGTAACCTCTACCAGTACTACTTATGTTAGTTTGTTTTCATTTTTTTTTGTTTTTTTGTTTTCTTTCCGGTTATGTTCATGCCCAGTAAGCTCTAATGTATGTCAACAAGAATGCAAATTTTCATCTTTCTTTTTTTTTTTTTTGGGTGTTTTTCAGTATTTTGGAGATATATATTGAATTAAATTCAGTATTACTTCTGACGTTTTTGTCATTTTTCTTTTTCACCAACATCTTAGGGGGGAACTGTATTGTATCTGGGTCACTGTTACAAGTTAAAAATGCAAAATATTTCAAGTGAACCTGGGCTTTGCTCATGCAGGACAGGTTCATCCAACTGCCACGCTTCCCAGCTGCACATTCTCACCTTTCCTTTGCTCCCTTGTCGCTCACTTGTAGTGAAATTGAAATATCTGGTATTTTGGGAAATGGGGGTGCGTTATTATTATACGGGATTTATATAGCGCCAACAGTTTGCTCAGCGCTTTACAATAGAACGGGAGACAACACAGCAACAATACAGTTCAATACAAGAGGGAAAGGAGGGCCCTGATCCTGGGAGCTTACAATCTAGGGGCATTAGACTCGCTTCCTTTCTTGCACCCACATGGCAGGGCTGTTGATTGGCCTCATGGGGGGTTGAGAGAGAGTCCTCAGCCTTGTGCCAAGTCATGACTTTGGGCATATGGTTTCTTCTATATCGGAGTGGTGGAAGAGTGAAAGAAAGGCCTAGTATGGGCAGTTGGAGAACGTGGCACTTAAGTGAAGCTCTGTAATACAAAAGCACAGGTTCACTTTAAAACCAGGAGAATTTGGGCTGAAACAGTGAGACATCATGTTCCCTGTCTTCACACCAGAAAAAAAAATCTTTAAAAACAAAATGTAGTTTTCCCTCCACGAGTTCTGCATATACCATACATGTAATGTTTTGTTGTGTGTTTGAAATCAATGATTATACTCTGTAAAACCTGGGCCTGATTCATCAAATATTTGAAACTATCATTACACAAATTGCTCCTTTGCTGTGTTATCTGTCCATCTGGCCTTGTAGGCAAATTTGTCTAACTGTTCCAACAAGTAGGGAAGACCAATCCATATTGCTCATTGGTGATCGAGGCCTATTGTGGCGACTGACAATACTGTTTAGTACAAAACTTACAGTTTGATATACAAAGATTTGTAGGGTACAGAATTCTGTATTATATAAATGGACATCATCACTGTTCCAATCCTCGGCTCTGACATTTTTGCATTTTATTTTACGGCCAATAACTTTGTTCACCTTCCCCATTAGTTTTCATTCCCATTATAAGATTACATTTAAAAAAAAAAAAAAAAACGGACAATTTTTATTGAATTCGATTTTTCCAAAATAAAGATTACACCGTAGCTCCATAGCAAATTATATTTTTTAAAGAGTACTTAAAGTATCCTCTGCAATGGGCTCATAAAAAAATTTACATTTAGCTTTTTCAGAATGAAGAACTGCAGGAGTTTTGAGTCATAAACAACTGAACTCCTGAATCCTAAAATTTTGGAAGTAATTTATCAAATCAAATTGTAGCTCTTAATGTTTTCTATTTTGTTTTAACCAGCCTTTAAAAAAAAGTTCAAGTGTAAAAAAAAATGACAGCCTATGCACATGTTTTCCTGAAAATTCACATTTGTTTAATTTATTTTAGTATTTTTCCCTTTTTTGTTTGCTTGTTTTAGGATTCCCACATCGTAACTGAATTAAAAGTATCACAGATTCATTTTTCCAATTACTGAAAATGTATGAGTTTTAATTATTTCAGTATTTTTTCCTTTGCTTGTTGTAGGATTCCCACGTCATAACTGAATTCAAAGTATCACAGATTCAGTAAATCATAAAAGAAATGTAATACAGAATCCTCCCATGCTATTTGCTTGTATTTATGTAGCAATTGTACCACTTTTAGAAATTCATGACACTTTAACTTCATGACACAATTCTACACAATACTGGCACAACATGAAACACTTTTAGAGCCTTTAAAACCACTTTACATAATTGAGACACAAATTCCCAGAATCCATCAACCTTGTATAGTACTTGTCCTTCCTTTGTAAAAAGTCAGACACTCTATACATTAAGGCCACAAGTCAAGGGTGTAGAGAGAGCAGGTGAAAATTTGGGAAGGGAGGGAGGACGAGGGTAGATCCTTAGAATTTTAGATTGCGGTAGGAATTGAGTAATTGTTTGCTTTATTAGGTGGGCTCTATTTGGCAGTCGTGGGAATCTCCAGACCCCTATTTATTTTATCTTTTTTTTTTTTTTCTTTTTTTAATTTCTCACTGAAGAGAGCGTTGCAGACAAGCTGGCTCTTAACCATGTTAAACCCTTATCCTTGTGTTTAATTAATCGCCCCATAATAGGTGTTTTTATGATCTTCAGTTCAGCCCTGTGTGCCTGTGTTAATAGTCACTGTTTTATGAATCAGGCTCTCTGTGCCTCCTTTTACCATGTATTGACTCATGCTTGTTATCATTTTTTTTTTTTTTACTGTGTTCTGTGAAAAAAAAAATAGAAAATGAAAAAAGAAAAAATGTAATTGGTTGCGAATCACTGTGGGCATCCATTTTTATCCAACTAAATCTCTGCAGGTTTTTTTTTTCAAGCTGGTGTGTGGATTAGTTAACTCTTGTACAAAGCCGTTATTGCAACCAACTCTCACAATACAATACAATTACTGGAAGCAAATACTGCATTTCCTATGCAACAAAAAAAAGAAAATAAAAAAATTGCTAATGCTAACTTTGTTGTGCTGGTGTTAATTTTTTTTATATGCAGATTGTTTGTTTGGTTGGGGTAAGCAGCAGACAAGTTCAGGGCTCAACAATTGAGGAAGCAGAGAAGTTGCTCAAATAGTTCTGCTTCAGTTCCTGCACATGTTTAAATGATTTCTTATCACCCGATGCAGGATGTCAACACATTTTAGGGGATGTTGGATACATGTTTACAGACCTTTCCCTATGTAGCCATAGGAAACAGGGTCCACTCCATGTTATGTCACACCCAGGGGCGGACTGACAACTCATGGGGCCCCAGGGCAATAGGGGATCATGGGGCCCCTGTTTCCTTGCCCAAACTCAAAAAAGCCTATAAAAAAGGTACCAGGGGCATCTCATGGGGCCCCCTACTGACTCCGGGCCCTCGGGCAGTGCCCGAATTTCTAAATGGTCAGTCCGCCCCTGCTGGGGATACAGGTGGAGCCTAGAGGGCCAAGATCACGTCTGGTGGTCTACTGATAGAGAACTCCAGCGATAGGATTTCCCTGCCGTAATCCCCGGCTCAGCTCCTGTCCGTCGGGAAGGTTTGGTTGTGGCAGTGCCCGAATTTCCAAATGGTCAGTCCGCCCCTTGTCATACCTGCTCTGGGTTACACCTCCTAGGTTCTCAGGAGACCTTTATCACAGCGGAACACAGAGAAAACTTGGATGCTGGAATTGGCCACTGTTGCACAAAGCAGATTTCCAAAACCAGGGGTCTCCAAACTATGGCCCTCCAGCTGTTGAAGTACTACAAGTCCCATCATGCCTCTGCCTCTGGGGGTCTTTCATGTGGCTGTCAGAGTCTTGAAAGGCCTCATGGGACTTGCAGTTCCTCAACACCGTCCCACCCTAGATTTAACAGATCATGTGATCCCGTTTTGGAGATCTTTAACCTCTTCACGCCGGCCACACGCAAATGTGCGGCCTCCCGGCATCTGGGCCTTGACGCCGAGCAGCCGCACATTTGCATGCAATTAACAAAAACATATGTGCTGAGAAAGTGCACCCTGCGCACTCCCAGCACACCTGTCCGGTACTCACGGAAAGGTCCTGATCTCCTCTTTCAATCGGGACCTTTCCCGATCATGTGACCGCTGTGACGGCGAATCACGGCGGTCATATGACCTTAAAACCCTGCCCCTCCTCCCGGCTTCTGAAACCCTTAAAGGGCCGGGAGGCTCCGGCGCCAAGGGGTTAAAGAGGAGGAACCATCCTATATCTGGGAGAGGATTTCTATTGAAGATAACCTACCATACTGATTCTTTATCACACTGCGCCTATTGACCGGTGCTATACGGTCTAATTGTCCGGGGCTAATTTTTTCGGGTGTATGGTGACGGCCTATGACATCAGAATCTTCTCCTGCAACTTGTTTTATTCACTTGAGGACTTACATGGATTTTTATTTCTGACATTTGTATGCATTATAATTAGCGCTGCATTTCTTTTGTTCAGTTCCTCAACACCTGGAGGGCCATAGTTTGGAGACCTCTGTCCTAAACCATCATATGACCTGGCCATTCCTTTACAATTCTTAGTTAGAATAGGAGAAGAATGGCGCAAGCATTACTTAAAGTAAACCTAAATGTAACCACTTAGGCCTCATGCACACAAGACGTTTGACCATCTCTCTAGACTCCTTTCCTCTTGGTAGCAGCGTTTTGGCAGAGCTCTTGGCCATTGATTCATTTCATTGGCCAGAATAATCATTTATTCTGGCCACTGAAATGAATGAATGCTCAAGTGCTAAACGGCACACTAGGCACTAGCGTTAGCATGCATTGACATACATTAAACATTTTTTTCTGCCAAAACACCGCTGTTCTTGGACTCACTGGCAGTATTTTTTTTCTAAACTCCTCTATTATTATTATTATTATTACATCGAGTTTATATAGTGCCAAAGGGTTTGCTCAGCGCTGTACAATAGAGGGGGGGGGGGGGCAATACATGGCACAGTACAACAATAACAAACAACGTACGAGGGGTAAGAGGGCCCTACTCTTTCAAGCTTACAATCTAGGAGGGAGGGGGTAGTGGTACAGGAGGAAGTGGCTGAGGGGAATGAAGTGGTGGGAGGAATGAGGGAGGATGGCCGTTAGGTGAGGGTGGGGTAGGCTTCCCTGAAGAGATGGGTTTTTGAGGGAGCGCCTGAATGTGAGGAGGGAAGGCGACAGTCTGATGGATTGGGGCAGTGAGTTCCAGAGGATGGGGGAGGACCTGGAGAAGTCTTGAAGTCGTGCATGGGAGGAGGAGACCAGGGAGCAGGATAGAAGGAGGTCCTGTGAGGAGCGAAGGGTACGGGTAGGTTGGTACTTGGGGATCAGGTTGGTGAGGTAATCAGGGGCAGTGTTGTGAACACATATTGTGTGCATGGACACAGAAGCAGAAAAAGACGCCAGACACCCCTAACAGCCATGTTAAAAGTGTTTGGCCCTTTTAACACGGGCGTTCAGTATGTCTGTTATTCATCTGTCCGTTTACGGATGAAAACCAGACCCTATGTATTTATATGGACTAGCGGATGTAAATAGATGATCATCCATTTACATCCGTTAATGTCCGTATCTGTTAACATTCGTTTTTTTTTTGAACGGAAGAAAACCCTATTTTTCTTCTGTTAAAAAAAATGGGAAAGGACGAAAAATAGATGTAAACTGATGAAAAACGGATGTAAACGGACAAAAACGGATGTAAGAGGACGAAAAATGGATGTAAATGGACAGAAATGGATGTAAGCGGACAAAAGCGGATGTACACAGACAGAAACGGATGTAAATGGACTAAATTGGATGTAAACAGACGAAAACCAGATGCAAACTGATGAAAAACAGATGTAAACTGAACTGAATGAACTGATCTGTTTTTTCTTGGAAAAAAAACGTGACTGAACTACTGAAGAAAACGGAACACCCTTGTGAAAGGGGCCTTATTCATTCTTCTTAAAAGAGAAGTAGGGCTTTTTTTTTTCAGTGTGATAAAAAAAAAACCTTACGAGCTATTATGAATCAAAAATTATAAATATCATCCCCCAGAAAATAATATAGATAGCTGCTAAAGCACAAAAACCCGTCTCATATATGGGCAAGAATATATATATATATGTACACATCAATTATAAGTGCATAAACTATGTGAATACAGTAAATAAATAAATATGAAAAAGTCCCAATGAATTTCTTTCTTCCTGTGACCACCAGTGCTGCAAACACAGGGATTCCTCCACCAGATATCTGCTCACCTCCAGCAGTGTGACCTCATATATAATGTTTGGTCTTACCGCACTTTTGGTCCCAATAATTGGACTCTGAAGATCAACTTGCTGAGTAGTAACTCCAAATGGCTCACTCCAAAGAATCCCTTTGATCAGCAGTAATCCTGGTAGATTGGACGTGCATGAGTTTCGAAGTCCTCCACAAACTACACTCATAAATCTCTTCTGATGACTCTTCAAAAGTTCCTTGTATATTGTTTTCTCAGCTCCACCGATCCAGCTTTCTGTTCCCAGGTCAGAACCCAACACAGTCTGAGCTCAGATCTTAGCACACCTGTGGTTGATGAGCCAGCCCAATTATACTTCCCTCGGTGGATGCTGCATCTGTCCCCCGCCAGTTCTAACTGTGAGAACTCAGCGATCACATGACAGCTGAATGCTAAGTTCTCAAATCCGCTCTGAGCAGAGAGCGGTGACTGTCAGTCACCGCTCTCTGCTCTGCCCCCCCAGTGCTCACGCTGGGCTGTGGGAGGGGGAGGGAGTGGCTGGCTCAGGCTCTCAGCAGACCGCTGAGAGGTTGAGACAGGTGCTGCTCCAGACTCTGGGGTGGATCCCGACTTTAAATTTGGGATATTTCCCCAGCCTGGATCGGCTGAGTGACGTCAAGCCGTTGATCGCAATCAACAGGCCGACCACAGGCAGCCAACAGATAGATCATAAACCCGGCCCTGTTTCCCCCTGCCTCCCGTTTTCCTCATCTTCACTGCAGAGCGGAGAGTGGGAGGCAGCATAGTGCTGGATGGAGGGCGGGAGTGAATGGTGAACAAGCAGATGATTGATTGCTAGGACAATGGGCAGTCCTAGCAACCAATCACCAGCTTGTTATCATGAAAACGTAACTCCAGAAGTTCCCGTTCCCACCCTCCGTCCACCACTATGCTGCCTCCACATCTCCGCTCTGCTGTGCACATGCAGGCAGGTAGAGTGCTACCTACACAGCCATATATGTTTGTGTCCGGAGGGAGGGGAGGGGTTGGATGATGTGACGGGACAGAGGACACTGCTTTGGTGGGGCAGAAGACATTACAGTGTGGGGGGGGGGGGTGATGTGAAAGGGATAGAAGACACTGCTTTGCGGGTGAGAGGGGCAGAGGACACTTTGGGGGGCACAGCACACTGCCATGGGGGCACAGAGGACACTATAGTGGGGGAGGGCGATGTACAGGGGGACAGAGGACACTGAGTTGGGGAGAGCACAGGACACTGTCATGGGGGAGGCTGAGGGGGAGGATGATGGGGGGGGGGCAGAGGACAGTACAACGGGGGGTGATGTGAAGGGGGGCAGAGGACACACTTTGGGGGGGCACTGCACACTGCCATGGGGGGGGCACAGAGGACAGTACTAAGTGGGGGGCGATGTACAGGGGGACAGAGGACACTGAGATTACAGGGGGAGGGCACTGAGGGAGGCACTGAGGCTGGGCAGTGGACGCTACAATAGGGGGAGGGGGAATGTGAAGGAGGGCAGAGGACACTGCTTTAGAGGGTACAAAACAGTACTGTGGGGGAAGGGGGTCAGAGGGCATTTCTATGGGGGGCAGAGGACAATACAGTGGGGTGGTGATGTGAAGGAGCAAAAGACATGGTTATGAGGGGGCAGAAGACAGTACTGTATGGGTGGGGACAGAGGACACTACTGTGTGGGGGAGGACATGAAACTCTAATGTGGGGGCTGATGTGAAGGTGGGCAGAGGATACTTCTGTGTGGAAGAGGACACGAGACACTACTGTGGGGGCTGAAGGTGGGCAGAGGATACTACTGCGGGGGGGGGGGGGAGTGATGTGAAGGGGGATAGAGGACACTATAGGAGGGGGGGGCGATGTACAGAGTGACAGAGGACACTGAGTTGGGGAGGGCACAGGACACTATTATGGGGAGGCTGAGGGGCAGAGGACACTACAATGGGGGGGGGGGGAAGGCTGATATGAAGGGGGCAGTGGACACTGCTTTAGAGGGCAAAAAAACACTACTGTGGGGGAAGGGGGGCAAAGGGCACTGCTATGGGGGGGGGGAGAAACAATACAGTGGGGTGGTGATGTGAAGGAGCAGAGGACATGCCTATGAGGGGGCAGAAGACAGTACTGTATGGGGGGGGGGGGGGGGGCGGGGGCAGAGGACACTACTGTGTGTGGGGGTGGACATGAAATTCTACTGTGCGGGCTGATGTAAAGGTGGATACAGGATACTACTGTGTGGAGGAGGACACGAGACACTATTGTGGGGGCTGACGGTGGGCAGAGGATACTACTGTGGGGGGGAGTGATGTGAAGGGGGACAGAGGACACTACTATGACACGTTATGTCTTGTCCAGGTAGATTTCAGCCTCTGAAAGGTTGCCTACCCCTGCACTATTGTGTGTTGTGTGCTGCAGCTTGGGTAAGTCAGCACCTATCGTACTTCTGCACTGGGGTGCTTTTCTGAATGAATCACACCACATCATCATTGTGTCATACACTGTAGTTACACATGGCAAGCCTCATTTTACTGCAGGGCAAAGCACAGTATTAGGCTACTTTCACACTGACCAATAGCAAAAAACGCAGCAAAAGCGCAAATGTGTTTTTGCCTTGTTTTTTTTTTACTGCATTTGCGGGTAGCTTTTTACAGGACATGTGACTCAAAAACTGCACCAAAAATGCAATGTGGGGAATTTTAGATGCTTTTTTGCCTCCTTTCTCATTGATTTCAATGGGGGGGGGTGCATTTTTTTTTTTTTACCACACCAAACCTGCACAAAAAATGCAGCAAGCAGGATTTTAAAAACCACAGCAGACCCGCAACTGATCAGTGTGAAGTTTCAAAGGATTACATGGTGGTCGCATGATCGTCTTCACCTTTTTTTTAACGCAAAACTGGAAGAAAAGTGGATCAGCGTGGAAGAAGTCTGATTTAGAATATGCACAATGGCAAGCAAAGTAAGAAAATATTTCCATGAATGAAAATGCCTGACAAATACTGAACGCAGCCAGATCCACCTAGAAGAGAAAGCACATCGTGCTGGCAGACTGAAGCAATAGCAAAAAAGAAGCAATAGAAGAGAAGGCAAGTCAAGTTGTCAATGTAACTCTCCATATACCATACCTGGTTTATCCTCTTGGAAGCAGGAAATCAATATATTAGACACCACCACTCCAGTGATCTCTACTAGCATGCGGGTCCCATGCCGAGTGACAGCCATGCTTCATTGTGAATGCAGAAGGTTGGCTGAACAGCACAAGTACCATGAAGTGATCACGTCGCATTTTCTCTGTGAATGCAAAGTGTTCTCTGACCGGATGAGGTGGAGAGGTGTGGCAGTGATGTCACAATTTCCACCTCATCCAATCAGAGAACACTTTGCATTCATTGATAGAATGCAAAGGTTCTGGAACACAAGTCTTCTCAGCACCAACTTCAGCCCCATCCGGCCAGAGCCTGCGCCATCCTTCTACTCCACTTGAGTGGCTCCAAAGTTGTTTAATGAGATTCACAACGTGGTACCAGTGTTTTAGGGCCCTGTCCATCCAGGGTCAAGGTTCTGGAACACAAGCCTCAGTACCAAATTCAGCCCCGTCCAGCCAGAGCCTGCGCCATCCTTCTACTCCACTTGAGTTCTCAAAGTTGTTTAATGAGATTCACAACTGGTACCAGTGCTTAGGGCCCTGTCCATCCACGGTCAAGGTTCTGGAACACAAGTCTCAGTACCAAATTCAGCCCCGTCCGGCCAGAGCCTGCGCCATCCTTCTACTCCACTTGAGTGGCCCTCAAAGTTGTTTAATGAGATTCACAACGTGGTACCAGTGCTTAGGGCCCTGTCCATCCAGGGTCAAGGTTCTGGAACACAAGTCTTCTAAGTACGAAATCCAGCCCCGTCCTGCCAGAGCCTGCCATAGACTATGACAGGCTGCCTACAGCAGGACAAGAGGCTGCACCTGTCCCTCCTGGACACACTAAAGCATCAGGAGGAGGGCACTGAAACTGAATCTCCCATTTTTTGCCATGGGCCATGGGCCTAATGGTCACGTGATTTCCTGTGTTACCTGAAGTTTTTCTTTTCATAGAGACCTTTCCTGGGAAAAACAAGTCTGTCATTGCTGCCATGATAAAAATATTCTTACCTGCTTGTCATGCTGATCCAATGGCTTCGAAAACTTCTGAATCACTGACTTACTGTAACAGTTATGCCTATCAGGAGCAGGGGCGGACTGACAACTCATGGGGCCCCCGGGCAATAGTAGATCATGGGGCCCCTGTGTCCTTGCCCAAACTCAAAAAAGCCTATGAAAAAGGTACCAGGGGCCTCTCATGGGGCCCCCCTTACAGACCCCGCGCCCTTGGACAGTGCCCGAGTTTCCAAATAGTCAGTCTGCCCCTGATCAGGAGTAACCTGGAAAGTACTGAATCAAGAGATAGCCAGACAATTAGTGTTTTCAGAAGTAGGTCACCAATGGCAGCCCCTATATGTCATCACTACAGGTTTTCCTTTAAAGTGAAACTGCAGCCCCCCCAAATGTAAATCTGAAGGGTTCCAGAGTGGGGGAGGTGCCTTGGGTTTTAATTTGCCGTCAACTTAGCTTTTAGTGTATCAAACAATATGGGTGTAATCAAAGTGGGCGATCATGACTAAGGCAACAGGAAGACGTAATACATTTCGCCTGCCAGCCACAAAGCCAAGATGAAGATATTTATTGGCTACTGCCATCCGCCGCGCAGTATTAATTGTGGAGCGTTTTGATGGGTAGTTAGCACTTGGGGTATTAATGAAAATAGCACTTCATTTTAAAATTAACGGCTTGGCCGCGCCGCGAAATGGCCTGATAGATTGAGGTAGTAAATTTGTGGAAGAGATTTATATGGCAGCGAGTCAGGTGGTGGCCTATAGGCTTTACAGCCATCGGTAACTGGCAGAAAGCTTTGTCTGCGCGAAAAGGAAGGCCTGTAAAGTGAAGTAAAAAAAAAGAAAGAAAAGGCGCAGCGCTCCACACAGACATACACCCCTTCATTGAATCCATCTCTAATAATACGCACTTATTTTTGAGCCAACCGCATTACCAAAACTTAAAAATCATAAAAAGTAAACAAATACAATAAATCATAAAAGATCAAATATAGGGATGCACCGAAATCCTTTTTTGATCGATGAGCAGGGGCGGACTGACCATTGGGGAATTCGAGCACTGCCACGAGGGCCTGGGGTCAGTAGGGGCCCCATGAGATGTCCCTGGTACCTTTCATAGGCTTTTTTGGGTGTGGTTTGAGTGAGGGTGAGGACACAGGGGCCCCATGATCCCCTATTGCCCAGGGGCCCCATGAGTTGTCAGTCTGCCCCTGTTGATGAGTATTATTATTATTTCAGGTACTTATATAGCGCCATCAATTTACGCAGCACTTTACATATATATTGTACATTCACATCAGTCCCTAACCCTCAAGGGGCGTACAATCTAAGGTCCCTAACTCACATTCATACATACACATACTAGGGACAATTTAGACAGGGGCCAATTAACCTACCAGCATGTCTTTGGAGTGTAGAAGGAAATCGGAGTACCCAGAGGAAACCCACGCAGGCACAGGGAGTACATGCAAACTCCAGGCAGAAGGTGCCACGGTTGGTATTTGAACCAATGAGCCTAGTACTGCCAGGTGGAAGTGCTAACCACTTAGCCACTGTGCTGCCATGAGTACCGATACTTTTTTGATCAAGTACCCGCCGATACTGATTACCGATACTTTGCGGTGCGATTTGTGTCAATACAAAATGTATGGATGCAAATTGCACCACAAAGAATAGCATGCGATTTGAACAGGAATGCGATTTCCAGTGCTCATGTGTGAACCAAGGCTTGTCATGAGTTCACACAGGAGCAGTGCAGGGAGATTTCCCGCAGCGGAGATTGGGAGAGAAGGTTGTGTGGGGATGTATACCATAGAGGCAGATGCTCAGCTGTAGGAGAGGAGAGAAAGCGGCGGCTTTCTCTCCCCTCCTTGCAGGGATGACAGTTCAGGCTAGAGGGCTTTTGATTGGTCAGCACCTTCACATGGACAGTGCTGTCCAATCAGAAGCCGTCTAGCCCGTACTGTCATCCCTGCAAGCAGAGGAGAGAAAGCTGCTTCAGAGGTCTGGGGATTTGAAATCCCCGCAGTTTTCTTTCCTCTCCTTGCAGGGATGACAGTACTTGCTATATGGCTTCTGATTGGTCAGCACTGTCTATGTGAGGGGCTGACCAGTTAAAATCCCTGTAGAAAATGCAGCAAACGGGTCTTCCCAATGAACCTATTGTATTTAGTGCACCGTATATGCAATCCCACCAGTTATTAGAGATAACTTCTGAAAGGTTCAGGCTGTTGTAATTCAGCCAAACTTTTCATAATTTTCTGAACCTCCAAAATTCATACATTTCCCCAAACAGGAGGTCCCACTGAAGTCAAAGGAAATCCAAACCAGGCTCCAACAAAGTGGGTCACAGAGCAGTACATAACTTTCCAACACCCTCTTGGCTAGTGACCACTCCTTTGGAGTGCTGGATAGGTGGTTTGTTGTCTGGGTAGAGCTGTGTGTTAGATGTACTAGCAGCTTTAGATACACTAACAAATTGAAGCTGAACTCCAGCTAACATTTTATAAGCAGTTAGAACAAACAGTTTTTCCTTTTGGGATAAAGGTTTACATGAATAAATAAAAGCTGATCATTGTAAGCACCCCTGTCATTGGTAAGTAGTTTGTCTCATCCCCATAATGTGATATATCTGGAAGAGAGCATGTTCTTTTGAAAAAGGTCAGACTTACTAGCAGGATCACCAGATAAAAACAGAAGAGAGCATAGCTAAAAAAGAAAACTAATGCAGCCATTAGCTCTAAGAATTAGTAAGCAGCAGTACAATAAATGTTTGCTTTTGGGTTTAATACCACGTTAACATTATCTGAAATTTCGGATCAACTTTACCAGGGTGTTTAACCACTTCCTGTCCAGCCCATGTACATAAATGGTAGGATGGGAGCAGTGCAGGAGCGGGTTCCGGTTATAAACATCCTCCTGCATTCACTGCCTGTACGCGCTCCCTGGGAGCGTGAGGCACTTACCGCTGTACGGGACCTCTGTGCGAGGTCCCAATTATGGGATCACTGATTGGCCAATCAGTGATCACATGCAAAGTAGTAAGCAAGATGTCACTTCTGACATCATTGCTTACTACTTGTGAAATCTGTGAATGATCACAGAGGTCACATGGTACAGGGCTATTCACAACAGCCTTATACCATGTGACAAGCTGTGACCAATCACAGCTCACTCAGTAGTTCTCAATTCAGTGTAAAAAAAAAAAAAAATCTTCATCACCCCCACAAGTAGTACAGTGTCACCATGGTGACACTGTACTGCTAGGGTGACAATATGTTAAAAAAAAAAAACATAATAAAAAAAAAAAAAAATGTAAAAACTATTTTTGAAAAAATTATAATTTTTGGTTATAAACTAATTTGAGTTATTTTTTTTTTTTACTAAAAAGATAGCTGAATACATTTTGGCCAAGATTTATGAAGAAAGATTATTTATTTGCAAAATGTTATCAGATAAACACTTTTTTTTCAAAATGTTTGGACTTTTTCATTTACATAGCAAAAAAATAAAAATCCCAGCGGTGAATAAATACCACCAAAATAAAGTTTTATCTGTCTCAAAAAAATGCTAAAAAATTCATATGGGTACAGTGTTGCATGACTGCGCAATTGTCATTCAAAGTGTGATAGCACTGAAAGCTGAAAATTGGCCTGGACTGGAAGGGGGGGAAAGTGTCCGGACTGGAAGGGGGGGAAAGTGTCCGGACTGGAAGGGGGGGGGAAAGTGTCCGGACTGGAAGGGGGGGGAAAGTGTCCGGACTGGAAGGGGGGGGGGAAAGTGTCCGGACTGAAGGGGGGGGAAAGTGTCCGGACTGGAAGGGGGGGGAAAAGTGTCCGGACTGGAAGGGGGGGAAAGTGTCCGGACTGGAAGGGGGGGGGAAAGTGTCCGGACTGGAAGGGGGGGAAAGTGTCCGGCTGGAAGGGGGGGGAAGTGTCCGGACTGGAAGGGGGGGGAAAGTGTCCGGACTGGAAGGGGGGGGAAAGTGTCCGGACTGGAAGGGGGGGGAAAGTGTCCGGACTGGAAGGGGGGGAAAAGTGTCCGGACTGGAAGGGGGGGGAAAGTGTCCGGACTGGAAGGGGGGGGAAAGTGTCCGGACTGGAAGGGGGGGAAAGTGTCCGGACTGGAAGGGGGGGGAAAGTGTCCGGACTGGAAGGGGGGGGAAAGTGTCCGGACTGGAATGGGGGAAAGTGTCCGGGCTGGAAGGTGGGGAAAGTGTCCGGACTGGAAGGGGGGGAAAGTGTCCGGGCTGGAAGGGGGGGGGAAAGTGTCCGGACTGGAGGGGGGGAAAGTGTCCGGACTGGAAGGGGGGGAAAGTGTCCGGACTTGAAGTGGTTAAATGCAAAAGTTTTGTGTCTGAGAAAACTGTTTCTTTAAAATATACATTTTAAAATTAAAAAATCAGAATATTGCTCTAACAAGCACAGAATAAATAGTAATAGGTTAATTGGCTCCTGTCTAAATTGTCCCTAGTATGTGTATGTATGGATGTGAGTTAGGGACCTTAGATTGTACGCCCCTTGAGGGTTAGGGACTGATGTGAATGTACAATATAAATGTAAAGTGCTGCGTACATTGATGGCGCTATATAAGTACCTGAAATAAATAAATAATAAAATTGCTAATGTTGTTTCCCTTTAAATAAGTGTACCTGTCAATATCTATAACCAGCATTCAGACTGTGGAAAGCTTCGGGAACTGCGGACCCGGATTGGAGATGCAGACAGGATGGAGGGGGGTTTGTCTTCTCCCTCATCAGACCATTTTGTGGTTTGTAATGATGTTGTGGGAACTGTACGAGCGTTATTTATAGACATTATTATGTATGAGCTCTCAGGATAATAAAAGTCCCATTTTAGGATGAGAATTCCCCTTTCATAATCTCATGAAAGGTATTTTGTTGTCATGACAGTGCGTGCCCAGAAATGACGGTAATAAATTGTATTAGTAAAATGTACTATAGGTTTTAGGCATGGACATAAAACACAGACCGCGCCATTTACGGTGTATGGAGAACTCCGCCAAGACATCTGTTACTGGCTCACTCAGACCAAATACATCTACTTGGTTACCTTGCAGTTCCCTGACCCCCCCATAGGATGGCGCTAGACATGAACTGCTCTACGATTGGGCATACGTTCACACCCAGGTTTGAAGACACGCACACGCATGGCTCCTGGTCTGGTTGGAAACCAACCAGGGGCGGACTGACCATTTGGAAACTCGTGCACTGCCCGAGGGCCCGCGGTCAGTAGGGGGCCCCATGAGATGCCCCTGCTACCTTTTTCATAGGCTTTTTTGAGTTTGGGCAAGGACACAGGGGCCCCATGATCCTCTATTGCCCAGGGGCCCCATGAATTGTCAGTTCGCCCCTGCCCTGGTACCTTTCATTGGCTTTTTCATAGGCTTTTTTGGGTTTGGGCAAGGACACAGGGGCCCCATGATCCCCTGTTGCCTGGGGGCCCCATGAGTTGTCAGTCCGCCCCTGAAACCAAGTGATGGAGTTGTCGCCTCTTTTCAGAAAAAAAACACCCGTGCTATAATATCTTTATAATATAATAATATTTTTCTTATTAACCCCTTCACGCCGGTGCCTCCCGGCCCTTTAAGAGTTTCAGAAGCCGGGAGGCGGGCGGGGTTTAGGGTCATGTGACCACCATGACGCGCCGTCACATGATCGGGAAAGGTCCCGATCGAAACAGGAGAGTTCCGCGAGTACCGGACATGTGTGCTGGGAGCGCGCAGGGCGAGCGCTCTCGGCACATATGTCCTTTTTAATACAACGCAAATGTGCGGCCGCTCGGCGTCTAGACCCAGACGCCAGAAAGCCACGCATTTGCGTTCGGCCGGTGTGAAGAGGTTAATGTAGCGCTACCTTTGTGAGGGCCGCTGTGTTGTGGGTACTCCTAAGCCTCTCGCCGCACAGCCAGGCAACATGTATTTCTCACACAGACTTGCATCCAAAGACAGTGACCAGTCCATGGCTTGGTTTTGCCGTTTTATTAGGGGAATTCAGCTTGGATAGGGAAATAAAGATTATGGGATGCCCAGTTTGGCTTGACACAATGGAAGGGAGACACTTCCTACCAGGGGAGGACTGACAACTCATGGGGACCCCGGGCAATAGGGAATCATGGGGCCCCTGTGTCCTTGACCCACACTCAAATCACACCCAAAAAAGCCTATAAAATGGTACCAGGGGCATTTCATGGGGCCCCCTACAGACCCTGGGCCCTCAGGCAGTGCCCGAGTGCTCGAATGGTCAGTCTGCCCCTGCTTCCTACTAATGTGCAAAGGCAGATCCTGGACTGTTGTTTTCCTGAAAGCCGTCAGTCGTTGTGGATCAGTAGAAGTTCTCCTTTATGGGCGAGGAACTAGAAACCCCTCAAAACAAATCATCTTTACTTCTTGTAGCTACATGCAGAGATGTATTTTCTCCCCCTATGGAGCTGCTCCCAGCTCCACAGCCTGCAAACACTACCAGCCCTCCTGGCTTCTTGGAAGATCTCCTGGGACAAGGATAAAGGATTGAGCCCAGTGCTGTCCTTAGGAAGTTTGCTACGTTTGGCAGTCTTTCCCCTTGTAGATCCCAGAGTGTGTTGCTGTACTCACACTGTCCTCTTTGTTCCCTGTTGCTCCAGGTCTTGATCCTAGTCACACCTCACTGCTGAATGTATCCTCCTGAGCCAGCCTGATCCCAGCCTGGAGGCTGCCCCCCCAGACCTAGGGGATGTCTCCCAGGCACTGACAGTCTCCTCAACACTCAATCTTCCACCCGATTCCTCTGTCAGCCTGACTCTCCTATATTTATGGTCCAGTCCACCTTTCTACCAGGGCCTGAAAACCTAGGATTGGCTGGACTCCCATAAACATGCAGATTAGGTCTCCACCCTTTCCTGCTTACCAACTTCTAGAAGGTTCTATGGTCCTCCAGAGTCAATAAGAGACAATAGAGTCACAATCTGTTGAGTCATCCAGCTGACCTGAAATAACCCGACCTCAATCACATACACAGACTCACACAGCTACCATGAGTTCTACCAGGGGCGGACTGACCATTTGGAAACTCGGGAACTGCCCGAGGGCCCAGGGTCAGTAGGGGGCCTCATGAGATGCCCCTGGTGCCTTTTTCATAGGCTTTTTTGAGTTTGGGCAAGGACACAGGGGCCCCATGATCCCCTATTGCCCAGGGGCCCCATGAGTTGTCAGTCCGCCCCTGGTCATACACACGATGATTATGCCTATAATACACTACACTAGAGGGTGCTACACTAATAGCATTAACAACAAGTTTCAGTTTTGCTGGTTGATGCTTCATCAACATTCCGAAACATTAGCAGGACAGGAAACAGACTATTAAGGTCCACATTTTCAGCACCGTTTCAAATTAGCATGTTTCATCGTTCAAGTACTATGAATCAGCTGTACTAGAGTTAAGGAGGACCTGTATTTTTAAAGCTTTGCCAAAAAAAAAAAAGAGCCAGCAGAAGGCAAAGTACGAGTCACCATTACTGCCTGTAGGAGTCCTGTAGCTGATGTTTCCCATTCCCATTATTATGCTGTGTCCCAGTGTGGAGGGTGCCATCTTGGTAGAGGCAGGGCTTTACTTCCTCATGTCAAAGCCTCCAGCAAGGAGAACAGTGAGCAGCCCACTAGTGATATCACCAAATCTCACCCCAAATCTCCTTAGACTGGAAGTCAGAGGCAGAAGTGCCATTGATGATCTAACACTGCAGCTATACAGTACAGCCATGAGGCTAAAAAAACAGGGTAGCCTAGGCATATAAATTTTTTAGGATGAAGTCAAGACAAGGGGGACATTTTTAGGTGACTGCTTAGGCACAAACAACATTTAAAGATGTTCCCTATATTATAGCAAATCTTCACCTTTTTTAGTTTGACAATAACTTCGCTGGCACCACCCAGTGATATGCAAAGTAAAATGGATCTTCACCCGCCCCAACCCCCTTTCTGTCTTTCCACTCCTGCACCCCTCCTAGCAATCTATTTTTCTTTAAATCTCTTTTTTGGGGAACCCTCCCTGCACTTCCTGGAATCTCACCTAAGCAAGAATGGCATATTTATTTCCCTCAGCATCATACCCATGTCATGCATCCCAGGAGACCTTGGGGGAGGCGGATCATCAGGAAGCTGGCTGGCTGTCTCTTACTGGTACTTGGCCCCCTGATGATGTATCACGTCGTGTGTACATCATCAAGGTGGGGGCTCCAAGAACACAGAACAGACATCCAAGATGACATCAGGGAAGAAGATGCAGGACCGGGTGTTCAGCAGGGAAGCATTAATCTACAGAACATTGTTGGATCACTGGACATGTGAGTATGTTTTTTTATGCATATCTCAGTGAAAACAGTAAAAGGAGGGGAAGAATTACGGTGGGTGAGAAGTTCCTCTTTAATCTACGGTCCAACAACAGTTTGCATTCCTGTCCTTTTTTAGCATATGTATTTGAGAAGGTCCTAAAGCATATTCAAAGATGTGGAGTCACCAGCACTCCAAGTAGATGCGTTTCACATGTGTTTTGTGAAGACAGTGTCACATAAGGCAAAAGAAATTTATGTTTTCGGGTCTCACATGGTCCCTTTTCTCAAGGCAACATTGTGACACTGGCACTAATTGTCTTCAGAAAGGGTCCCTGCAAGGTCCCAAAACATTGGTATCTCATGGCTGATGCGACGGTGCCCTCACAATATACACATGAAACACATCTATTTGGAGTGCCGAAGACTCTGCATCTTTGCATTCGGTTCTGGCATCGCACCATCTATGGCAGTGGTTCTCAACCTGTGGGTCATGACCCCTTTGGGGGTCGAACGACCCTTTCATAGGGGTTGCCTAAGACAATCTGAAAACACATATTTCCGATGTGTAAAGAGCAGCTACTGTGTAGAAAGCAGCTGCTGTGTTGAAAGTAGCTACTCTGTTAAAAGCAGCTACTGTGTTGAAAGCAGCTACTGTGTTTAAAGCAGCAGTATTGGAGGTAAAACAACACTTCATGAATTATAATTACTGGGTAAATAATTTTATGACTGGGGGTCACCAAAACATGAGGAACTGTATTAAAGGGTTGCGGCATTAGGAAGGGTGAGAACCACTGATCTATGGCATTCACTTTGAGCACCCATCATCACAAGGTCAAGTACTGTAAGGAGTACAGATTCTATTAGGCCTTTATTGTAATAAACCATGTTATTTAGGTCAAACCTCCCACCTTTTATCATGGCCCCCCCTGGCAGGCACACAGGAAACTACCTGCTATGAATGCGCCAGCCGGATGGGTTTGCCTCACAGGACAAATTTTCCCACAGGTAGATGAAAGGTGAGAGTGATGGGAAGCAAGGGCCAGTGATGGACATTGGGCACAACCAACATGCTTTTGTGATCAATTTGAGAGGCTTCTGATTCATTCAGATTAACAGCAGCTGTAGTTGACCTGTATTTGACCATCTTCCGATCTGCCACTGCTGCTTTTGAATTCCCTTGTAAAGAGTGATAAGCAGTTCTGCAGCAAATAAAATCCTGTTGAACATTACTAAGTTGGCACCTTCTAGGGTAGCTCTATGGTCCAACCCTCGCCCTACAATGACATGGGACCTGGGTGGTATTGGTTTATGGCCAACCTAGACCAGACCTATAGAAAGACAGATTAATAAATCAAGCACTTTCAGTAGGCCAATCATAACCAAATGAATTTATTGATTTAATCAGCGACTATGCCGGCTGTCCACTCATCAGCATTTCCTGTATACTGCAGCAAGTCAACAGTTAACAAGTATGGAAAAAAAGGCTGGGATTGTCTTAACTAAATTTGAACTGCCATAAACCATTTTAGTGTTTAACTGCTGGTATTTTTAGATCGATTTGGTGTGGGTTCTTTATTTCATGTCTTCATTAGAAGACGAAGGTCACCTTGTGGCCTGTGCAAGCATAGGCATTAGACTAGACCGAGTTGTTGCAATATCCTACGCCGTCCTCTCTCCTTCACGCGCTCTTAAGACGCCTTTCCCTACAAAGCAAATATTCTGGCAATGTCATGAAGCAGCAATACAGAAGAGTCTTCTAGTTTTAATATACATTGATTATTAGTATTTCCTCATTTTAATTTGTTCATCGCAATCATTTGATTCTCCGGCAATGCAATCATTGTCCTGGGAATCTTTCCTACCGTGTAACAAAATACTAAAGAGTCCAATTTTTTTTTTTTTTTAAGCTTTCCATGGACTGAACTTCAATTCTCTCAAGGGGCACAAGAGAAAACAGTCTTGGGTTTCACCAAGACAGGCGATAGAGCCTTGTGGCACAAAGGATGCGGGGTTCTATGTTAATAATTCACAGTTTTATTCAATACTGTGTAAGATTTCATCGGCAAAACTGCCTGTCTGCTCTAGATAAGGAAGACTGGCTTTACCTCCCTGCTGTAGCACTACACCGAGCCCTTAGTGCCTTCTTCAAGACTACTGAAGCAAGGGTAGAGATTATTTTTCCAAGCCAGATATTGAGAGGAAGCCTTCATTGTAATTTATTTCCTTCAAGAGTATCTCTATACCATGTTTTTATTTAAACACTGTGATGGGTAGGGGGTTGCATCAAGTCCAAAACACTCATCCCTTGTCAAGGAGTCTGGTTCTTACAAAAGCTTAGGCTGGTTCTCAAAGAAGCCAATACTGAAAGACCAGCTACAAGGGCCCTTCTGCTTTAAATAGGAAGTCTTTGCAATGGTCACATAGATAAAATTTGTAGCCATGTAGAACAGGGTTCCAACTTCTGACAAGGTTTTTATTGCTCTATGTGTCTTCTTGTTCCCTCCCACCTCTTAGAACTAGGGTCAGAGGGACAGAAAATGAGGGGACACTAATAAAAACCTGATAAAAAAAAACCTTAAAGCTGCTTAGATTTGGCCTCCCCTAGCCTTTCCTTCCCTGCGAAAGTTCTAAATGTATCACAGGGTGATACATTTTTATTATGTACCCCAAGTCTGCAGTGCTTCCCAAGCAAAACCCTCACAGACCAGGCCGCAAGAGCTCACCCAACCACCCTACACAACAGCTGCTACCCCTTTCCAACAGCAAGTAAAGGGTGGAGTGGACATTCTGAGAGAGAAGAGAGGATATAGAGATTGTGATAGGCTGCACTTGTACCCTGTGATTGAAGTCAGGAGGGCAGGGGAAAGTCTGCCCATGAAATCAAAAGGACTTATTGAAACTGCATGGGCTGCTGGACACTGTCAGAAACTTGGTGGAAACTTAAAATACCAGGAGGACGGTATGCAGAGAGAGGAGGAAAGT